CTAGAGATTCACTGAAAACAGACAGTCCACTTAACTACAGAGTCAGAGTACAATGAGAAAAGCTGCCACAGTGGGGGAATAAAAAAAAGAAGAAACCAACGAGTATCTCCAGAAATGCCAAACAACAAATGCAACAACCGAGGAAACAAGAACAAGGAAGACAATATAATGCTCTCAAATGGACATGACACTTCAATACAAGATTATGAAGACAATGATATAGAAGAAATGCAAGAAATGGAACTCAAAAAATTTATGAAAAAATATTTAGAAGTAATCAAAAACAAACACATGAACTGCTGAAATCCATGCAGGACGTGAAAGAAAATCTCTCTCACAAAAATGAAATCTTAAGAAGGAATAAAAATGAAATGAGGAATTTAATATAACATGAAATTGAGATATTGAAGAGAAATCTAAATGAAATGAATTCAATAGAACAAATAAAAAACACAGTTTAGAGCCTTAAAAACAGAATCAGTGAAGCAGAAGAGAGAATATCGGCCTGAGAAGACAGAGCACAGGAAAGCACACAGTCAAACCAAAGACAAGAAGAGGAAATTAGAAATGTAAACAATATTGTTGGGAATTTACAGGATACTATTAAAAAAACCAACATTCTGGTTCTAGGAGTTCCTGAAGGCATGGAGAGAGAGAAAGGATTAGAAGGCCTTTTCAGTGAGATACTAGCAGAAAACTTCCCAGGTTTGGAGAAAAAAGAGACATCCAAGTACAGGAAGCAAACATAACTCCCAATAAACATGACCAGAAAAGATCCTCGCCACCACACATTGTAATCAGACTCACCACAGTGAAACATAAAGAAAAGATTCTAAAATGTGCAAGAGAGAAACACCAGATTATTCTGAGGGTCTCCAATTAGACTCACAACAGACTTCACATCAGAAACCCTACAGGCTAGAAGGGAATGGCGAAACATAGCCCAGGTACTAAGAGAGAAAAACTGCCAGCCCAGAATATTATATCCTGCAAAGCTCTCATTTGTGAATGAAGGTGAAATAAAGACCTTTCATAGCAAACAGAAATTGAAAGATTTTGTCACCACTCGTACAGCCCTGCAAAAGATGATTAAAGATGTGTTACACACAGAAACACAGAAGCACGGTCGTCAGTACAAAGAAGGTAAAGGACGAAAATATCTCAGTAAAAGTTCACAGGAAGTTAAAATTATATATTAGAAATATCTTTGGAAAAAAGGCAAGGCAAAGTCACTACTTCTCAATAGTCAGTTTGAATGTAAATGGCCTCAACTCTCCAGTTAAAAAACACAGACTGGCTGAATGGATTTAAAAACAAAACCTATCTATTTGCTGCTTACAAGAAACATTTCTTCCATTTTTTTTTTTTTTTTTTTGACAGGCAGAGTGGACAGTGAGAGAGAGACAGAGAGAAAGGTCTTCCTTTTCCATTGGTTCACCAAATGGCCGCTATGGCCAGTGTGATATGCTGATCTGAAGTCAGGAGCCAGGTGCTTCTCCTGGTCTCCCATGCAGGTGCAGGGCCCAAGGACTTGGGCCATCCTCCACTGCCTTCCCGGGCCACAGCAGAGAGCTGGCCTGGAAGAGGAGCAACCAGGACAGAATCTGGCGCTCAGACTGGGACTAGAATCTGGTGTGCCGGTGCCGCAGGTGGAAGATTAGCCTATTGAGCCATGGCGCTGGCCACACTTCTTTCCAACAAAGGTGCATACAGTCTAAAAGTGAAAGGTTGTAAAAAGATATTCCATAGCAACAGAATCCAAAAAAGAGCTGGCGTAACCATCTTAATATCAGACAAAATAAACATTAACAGAAAAACTGTTAAGAGAGACAAAGAGGGGCACTATATAATGATTAAGGAATCAATTCAACAGGAAGATATAACTATAATAAATGTATATGCACCTAATTACAGGGCAACGGGTTATTTAAAAAATATGTCAAGGAACTTTAATGGGGACTTAGACTCCAATACAAGAGTATTGGGGGACAGCAATACTCCACTTTCAGTAATAGACAGATCAACCACACAGAAGATCAACAAGGAAACATCAGATTTAATTGACACTATAGACCAAATGGATGTAACAGATATGTACAGAAATTTTCATCCTATACTTCAAGAATGCACATTCTTCTCAGCAGTGCATGAAACTTTCTCTAGGATTGACCACATACTAGGCCATAAAGCAAGTCTCAGCAAATTCAAAAGAATCGAAATCATACCATGCGTCTTTTCAGACCACAATGGAATGAAGCTGGAAATTAGCAACTCAGGAATCCCTAGAGCATATGCAAACACATGGAGACCGAACAATATGCTCCTGAATGAGCACTGGGTCATAGAAGAAATCAAAAACTTTCTGGAAGTAAATGAGGATACCAACGTAACATATCAAAACTTAGGAGATACAGCAAAAGCAGTGTTAAGAGACAAGTTTATAGCAATAGGTGCCTACATCAAGAAATTAGAAAGGAACCAAACAAATGAGCTATCAATGCATCTCAAGGATCTAGAAAAATTGCAGCAAACCAGAACCAAATCTAGTAGGAGAAGAGAAATAATTAAAATCAGAGAAGAAATCAACAGGATTGAATCCAAAAAAACATTTACAAAAAATCAGCCAAACGAGGAGCTGGTTTTTTGAAAAAATAAGCAAAATTGACACACCATTGGCCCAACTAACCAAAAAAGGAGAGGGAAGGCCCAAATCAATAAAATCAAAGACAAAAAAAGGAATGTAATAAAAGACACCACAGAAATAAAAAGAGTCATCAGAAATTACTACCAATGTTGTATGCCAGCGAACAGGGAAATCTACTAAAAATGGATAGATTCCTGGACACATATACCCTACCTAAATTGAACCATGAATAGTGAAAAACAATTGGATATATATTTGAGAACCAAACTACATGAACAGAGCTCTAATTATACGTTGTATCAGTATGAATTTCCAATTAAAGGGACAAAGTGATATTAGATCAATATTGCTATAGTTTTGAGATTCCATAAATCTCTAAGCACATATTAGTGATAGTTTATGTAGAATAAAATATTGATTAAATGAAAATAAAAATATGTATGGTAATTACATTCCAAAAAATTAGAAAAATGTGGTATTTATACACATAAATAGGTATATATCTACAAAATATCTGTATTACTAATATTTTTAGTTGCAAAATGGCAGAAAATTACTGGTTGACATATGACTTAAGGTAATTTGGAGAAGTTGCTCACAGAACCAAAGCTTGAGAAGCAAGTTTGAATGAGAAGCAAGGTGACCAAGTACAGCAAAGTTCCTGTGGCATATTCTCCCCAGACAGTCCCTGTGATGCTTCTGAGCTTTTACTCAGTCACAACCACAACCACCCCAAATTATCTGTAAAGATTATCTGTGTAGACCTCACAGCCTCTAGACTCAATATTCCCAGATAAAGTGTCTATTTGGCCATCTTTGACATACTTGGCCTTCCATGGGAAACGTGTGATTCTTCCATATTAGAAACAGAATTTCTCAGTTGAGGACCCAAGCAATTATTTTCTGTTAAGAAGCTTGCATTTTTTTATTTAAAAACCTTTTGGGGCCAGCACTGTATCATAACCATCGGCTACAGTGCTGGCATCTGCTGGCATCCGCTGGCATCCCTTACGATGCCGGTTTGAGTCCCAGCTGCTCCACTTCCTATCCAGCTCTCTGCTATGGCCTGGGATAGCAGTAGAAGATGGCCCAAGTCCTTGGGCCCCCGCACCCATGTGAGAGACCCAAAAGAAGCTCCTGGCTCCTGGCTTTGGATTGACCCATGTCCAGCTGTTGTGGCCACTTGGGGAGAGAACCAGCGGGTGGAAGACCTCTCTCTCTCTCTCTCTCTTTCTCTCTCTCTCTCTCTCTCTGCCACAGCCTCTCTGTAACTCTGCCTTTCAAATAAATTAATCTTTTTTTAAAAAAAAAACCTTTTATAAATCAAATAAGGAAAGAACAAATAGCCAAACAGAAACAAAGAACAAATGGCATGAAAATCCAAAGTAGAAGTAGAAATACAATGCCCAATCTTAAATCTCATTCGCAAGGATGATTCTTTATGGAATAAACATTTTTTAAGCTTCACGTTCACATTGGCAACACCTGAACTTTGCAAATGACACATAAAAGGCATAGTAACAAGTATGCAAAAATATAATTACAAGTATATGCAATTACTTTGAAAATAAGAATAAAGCATAAGGAAAAATTCTGAATGTTCAACAATCAGTTATAAATATACTATAACCTCAAAAACAATGAAACATATGGTTTTAAACATATATGTATATATATGTATATTTATATATATGTATATTTATATGGTTTTCAAAAATTCATGGAATGTGCATATTATGAAAAAACTATGCATGGATTACAAACATTTTTGCATCCAAATGAACTTATCTTTTACTTCCAGTTTCCATGAAATTTTTGAAGTATCCACTATTACTACTTTGCTACTTCTATCTCTTCTCACCTAAATAATTCAGTCCAAAAGTCATTAGGTAAAATCTTGGAAAGGGTAGGGAATGCAGTGAATGCTTTTATTTGTAGTAGCTGCAATTCCTCCACAATTCTTATTTCCTACAAAACAGTCCTATTGGTCCTTCTTATTCTGCTGGGTTTGTTCACTGGGCTCACTGACCTCAAGAATTCCTTGTTATGTACAATCCAAAGATTGCTCTACTTTCTACTACCTGATATCTCTGCCTCCTTCAAATACTCTCACTTTCACCCCATCAGCTTACATTGCATAGTCAATTAATTTAATCTCTACATAGCATATACACTCAACTTGCTCCTTTCTCTTTCAGCAATAATTCTCTCTTTTTCATAGAGATTAGTAAAAAATTCACAAAAATTGATAAATTATACTTTTATTATGTTAGCTAACGTCAAACACCTAATGAGAAAAGTATAGTGTGCTTTGAATTTTATCTATCTTTCTTATAGATGGGTGATGTTTTAGAGAAAGCTTGAAACTATGCAAATATTTGGGTGGAGAGTTTTCCAATCAAAAGTAACAGGGGCAAAGATCTGGAGGATGGCCTTTCTCCTTTCCTCCGCCATCGTGGTGGGTGTCCCTGATTCTTCCTCGCCATGTCTTCTCACAAGACCTTCAGAATCAAGAGGTTCCTGGCCAAAAAACAAAAACAAAACCGTCCCATTCCGCAATGGATTTGGATGAAAACTGGTAATAAAATCAGGTATAACTCCAACAGGAGACATTGGAGAAGAACCAAGCTGGGTCTATAAGGAATTGCACTTGAATGGCGTGCTCATTTCTTCTGTCACAATGTCACAATGTCACTATCAGCACATCAAGCTGAAGATGTCACCATCATCTGGACAGCTGGACATGTTTGATTAGGGCTGTGACCAGTGGGCTGGTTCAGTAATAAATATGTGAGCCCTTTTGAACTGCTGTTGTATTCTGGTTTGTGAAGTGCCTAGCTGCCTCTTAATGGTCCTTTAGAACATTCTGCAATGATAGAAATGTTCTCTGGCTCCAAGTACCTGACGTGTTTAATGTGAAGGACTTGGGGGGGGTATTGAATTGTAGTTAGATTTTTAGTAGGCAGGAATTTTCTAAGCTAGAAGTTGGCAGAGCAATCTGTTGCCTGTTTGTATATGACCTGGTCACCTATTTATTTACATCCTATTATCTATGACTGTTTTTAACCCTGATGCACAGATGCTGTGTGGCCTACAATACCTCAAATATTTGTTGCTTGGCTCATTTCAGAAAAAGCCAACCCCTGATCCTGAATTCCGTACAGTTCACTTTTGCCTTAAAGATTGAGGTGGTCTGTGTTTGGCGTTGTGGCTATGTGTCTGTGGATGCCTGTGTTCCACAGCAGGAGCACCTAGGTTTAAATCCCGGTTCTGCTTCCAGCTTCCTAGTGCACACCATGGCACGCAGTAGGTGGTGACTAAAGTGCTTAGGTCCCTACCAACCAAATGGGAGACCTGGATTGAGTTCTTGGCTCTTGCCATTTGGGGGACTAAACCGTTGGATGGGAAATGGCTATCTTTTTTAAGAACAGACGGAGATTAATTGTTGGCATTGTAGCAATTGGTTAATGGCAACACTGACTACTGAACACCTGCATCTGGGTTAATGAGCATGTTAGAAAAAAATTTAATGCATTAGAGTAATATTTTTATTTTTTACTTTAAAGAGTTAGGTCTTACATCCACTGGTTCACTCCCCAATTGGCCACAATGGTTGGAGCTACGGAGATAAGGAGAGAGAAGTTTATTCCAGGTCTCTGGATCAGAAGCAGAGCAGCAGGGACTTGAATCTGCATCCATATGGAATGCCAGTATTGCAGGCGGCAGCTAAGATTTATTTTGAGACACATAGGGAGGGAGAGAGAGCTTCCATCTGCTAGTTGTGTCCCCAAATGGCTTGCAACAGCCAGAACTGGGCTAGTCAGGAATCAAGAGCTTACAGATCTCCCACGTGAGTGCAGGGGCCCAAGTATGTGGGCCATCTTCCACTGCTTTCCCAGGTGCATTAGCAGGGAGTTGGATAGGAAGTGGAATAGTCAGGACTCAAACTGGCACATATATTATATTGGCATTGCAGGTGGCAGCTTTACCCACTACAGCACAGCAGCAGTACCCAGAGTATATATTTTTTAATTCGTTTTTTTAGGGTTCATAAAGTTTGTCAATAAAATTCTAAAAATATAAAAAAAAAAGATCTGGAGGATGCAGTGAGTCTGGCATGTTCAAGGAACTTGAAGAACAGCAGAGGGACCGGAACAGAGTGATGCTCTGTGAGCAAGGATTGGGGCGATAGCTTAAGGGCTTCTCAGAGAAGTTCAAGTTGTCTGATGCTCAGGGCCTAAATTTACCACCTGAACTCTTAACCTCCCTTAACACATCAGCATATTTTCTTCTAGGTCCCTTTGTTATGTAAATTTTTATATAGTTGGAATTATATCACCTATGTTATTTTCTTGCCTTGAGCCTTTTATATTAAGCATGAACAGTTTCAGTGACACACACTTTTCAACTTAGTTTAAATTACTGCACAATATTTTATCATATATATGTGTGTATATATATATATACAGTGTCATTACTACATATTAGTCTTTGAGGTTACTTGCAGACATAAAGAAGGAGCCACACACTAATGATACTTCAAGTTGGCACCTGCTTATTATGACGGTTTCCTTACTTCGTGGAAGAGTTTTGCCTTGTTGCAATGACTGTGCAAAACTTCTCTGCTTCTTTTGTTTTTAATCTACACCAAAATTCATATCTTGATAAGATTCCTGTTTCCTGGGACTAAAATCTTAGCAGGCTTCAACAATAATCTCTCAGAAAAACAAAGAAACACAAAACAAAAAAGTCACTACATTATCCACAAGTATTTCTTAAAGGTAAAATAGATTTTTATTGCTATATATTAATACTCCAGAAGTCTATGGTTGAAAATATTATCAAGACATAGCCAATTTTTAACATTTCAATTATCAAATATCAGTATATGACATTTGGAATATAGCAGAGACAAATGCATAGATTTTATAAATTACAAATAATTGAACTCATCTAAACTGCGGGTGACGTATGTTATATTAAATACCTTATTAACTTATATGCTTCAATAATCATAAAATGAATACACATGTCATCCACTGTTCTTTATACCATGTAATAGGAATATGGCTGGAAGAACCTTGAATAATAGGAAAGCCAGAGAGGCATAGAATGAAGATGGATAGGAAACACACTAAGCATATGTTTGTGTTCTCCTTTCAGGAGAATTGTAGAGATTATCTCCATATCGGCTGCAGGAGATAGAAGAAATGGTAATCTATACTTAAGTAGTTAGAAGACACTGTTAAAAAGTAGTTAGAAAACAGCACAAACTCGTCAAGAACACCAGATACTGGCTTTCCATCATAAAGACCCTTCCAGGCCAAAATGTTCCATGCACTGCTTTATTGAATTAAGATTTAGGAACATGTATCTTTATCCCAAAATGACCAAATGATCTGTCTCATCAGTTCAACCTTTATTAAATATTGACAACCAATCTAGTGTGATGCTAAAAGCATCTTTCTGGTTTCTAAGAATCTTAGTGCTTTTGCAAGGTAAAACAGTAACTGTTGGTTGATTTCTAAATGGCTATAAATATTAATGCTGTACTTGCCATTATTTAAATAGCATAACGAAGACAGCTGGAGCTTTCCTAGCTATCACTTGCCTCCTGCATCTTTATTATTATTGTTGTATATAAGAGATATGCCTGTGTGTATGCCTGTGTGCATGTGGTGCATGTGTGTATGTGTGGTATTTGAAAAAGTGCAATACTGTGAATATAGTTTTGGTTCACTACGAACTTCTATTCAGAAAATGAAACCACATAGAGAAGAAACATTTTACACTGAAGCTCAGACAAATTACCATTTTGTCTTTCAAGCTTATAGAAAAGTTTCCTCCCTAAATCTTCCCCAACATATCCACATTATGGTTTCTGGTGGAGTCGCCTAATCACTCAGTGGGAAAGATGTGTTAATGGAAGTCAGAAGAATAGACTAATGGAAGAATAGACTAATGGAAGCTTTTTAAGAATTCCAAGTACTCTTCATATTAGAACCTTTGTCATAAAGGTGACAATATTAACAATAATAATAATCCTCCTTAACAAAAGATAATGTCGGATCTGGCTCTGTGAGAGCCACTGCTTCCACTGCACTCTCTCTATGGATGCCTTGATTTCCATTTCTAGTCTTGAGTACATATTGTTCAATTCAATAACCTAAATTTTCCCTGGTAAAACAGAACGTCAGAGTGAATTCAGTAATTAGCTTCCCTGTTAGGGGGCTCATTTAATTTCAAAGCTAATGCTAACCATGCTTCCGTTTCTAATTAATCCAAATATAGAAATGCTGTAGTAACCAGACAACATGTTCTTTGAGGAGCTGAAACTATGACATTGTCATGGCATCAGCAAACTTTCATCAGAGATATGATTATAGCACAGAACTTAGAACAAATGGAATCTTTTCTCATCTCTTTTCCTCTATATTTTTATTTTGTGATTTTAAAGCAATAGAGAATACACAATTTCTAACAATTTAATTTTTTGACAATATTTTTAAGCATTTGCAAATAAGATCAGTGAAATAAGCCAGTCTCAAAAAGACAGATATCATATGTTTTCCCTGATCAGCAGTAACTAATAGAGTACTTAAATATAATGTATTGGAGTAAAATGGACATTTCTGAGATTTAATGATTGTTTACAGCATTGTCTGTTTCGTTGAGGAACAGTGTATTTTTTCTTTATACTTTTTGTTCTTGAATTCTTTTACTTAGTGTAGGGTTAGCTTTATGATTATTAAGTAAACTGAAAATAGGTCTTTGTAAACATTAAGAGTGGGTATGGGAGAAGGAGGAGGAAGAAGTGTTGGAACATTGGTGGGAGGGAGGGTAGGGTGGAAAATATCACTATGTTCCTAAATTTGTATATATGAAAAATATGAAACTTATACAGCTTAAATAAAATTTTTTAAAAATCAGTATTTCATGTGATTAAAAATAGAGTATATGTTGGGATTATTTGACATCAATTCCCAGAAATTTGAATTAGTTATGGAAAAGTTCCTTGAATAATATTGGAAATATTACTTATTGTCTACGGCCATACCACCCTGAACTCGCCCAATCTCGTCTGTCTCGGAAGGAAATATTACTTATTTATTACTTATTGGCTTACTTACTGGCTTTGAGTAGTAGTTTCCATGTTGTTATCAGATTTGGTATATTGTTACATAAACTTTAAAATGTTTGCAGAAAATGAAATTTAAAAAGTGTTTTGGTACAAAAATTATTCAAATCCATTCATTATTTTTTTCATATAGGCATTTTCATGAACTTTTTGAAAATCCTTTTTTGCATGGACTTAAAAATTTTTGAACTAAAATAAACTTACTTTTACATTTTATTTCCCATGAACTTTTTGAGGTACCATAAGGCATACAGAAATAGATATGAATATATACATGATTAGTATTTTTATATTATGTATGTCTATGTATACACATATTATGCCTGATTATTTCTCCATATGAACAAATCTTGAGTTATGAAATATGGCATTGTTCTGCTCCCTCTCCTGAAGCAAGGAAGATTCTTTTAATGGGTTAATCCTGAATAAGTCACAGTTTTAAATTATGCTGTCGTGGCTTCCCTAGAGCAAGGATGGGAGTCGAGATCTGTCAGTAGGTAAATATATATGCAACTCTATATGCAACCCTACATGTTACCCTACATGCAACCCTATATGTTATATTCTATTTGTTCTTACTTATATGGGAAGTAGCATTAACTAAAGAAATGATTAATTAACTGATTAATTAGTTGAAGGAGAGTCAAAGTCATTGAAACCATTTGGAGTTCAACCTGAGAGATTTTTTCTGGAAAATTCTGATCAATTCACAAAAATGACAATAGGCTTGAGACACCCCAAAGAAAAGCATAAGAAATATCTGATCAAAAGGAATCACAAACAGAGAAAATGAAAAGAAGCAATCAGTGAGAGATGCAGGGCCTACTGACATCAGAAAGAGTACTGTTGAGCACAATGAGATGAATTGGTTCCTCCCAGAGTGGTTGGAATTATGATTAGGATGGCTTCCCAAGAATGATTTTTAAATGGTTAGATGAGGTTTTCAAGTGTGAATTATACATTAACAGTTTTTAAAACCTTCAAAAAAATTGGTCAAACTGTAACAATGTTTGACCTCTGATTCCTAGAGCCAAGTCAAAGGCATTGCTGTTTCATAAGAACAGAGCACCACCTTGTGTTGGGAAGTTATTACACCTCCCTGGGACACCTAAGGGAGGCCCTTGCCTTAGGATTCAGGAGAGGTTGTCAAGGCAAGACTGATAGCTTCTGAGTCGTTTTAAACACCTAGCTTTTGAATTGACTATGTTTATGTTCCAGCAAAGATAGAGAAAATCACATAGAGATGAAGAATCACACAGAACAAAAGCCAATTTTTGTAGTCTTTCCTAGAAATGCTTTTTAGAAATAATTCTGTAAGCCGAATTCGAAGCTTTGATCCTATTTTACATGTAACACACAATACTCATTGTTTCTAAACTTGAACTAGTTTAAGTATCAAATATCAATGAAGAAATTTTAAGATTAGAATAATGTAGAACTGCATTATTTCCAGAAAGTGTTCAACAAATATGAATTATTTAAACCACCAGATATCAATAATCTTAAAATGAAAACAAGATCACCTTAAGGATTCCTACTAAAAACATATGAACATTTGTAAAGAAGAAACAGTAGTCAAATAACATTTCAAACCTTTTTCTTAGAATCAAGATTCACAATATTTTGATACATAAATTTAGACATTTAAAGCCCTTAAACTGATGCATATGTAATTTACCTAATTTCTCAAAAACAAACAACAATGTTAACATACGCTCTTCTGTGGTCACAAGTATTCTTGTGGAAATTGGTTTTATAAAGTTAAACTGTATTGTATTAAAGTGATTTTGCTCAGATCTCATCCCCTCCAGCATATCTTTAGTTCTTTGGCTATAGGTACCTGCTCTCAACCCCTTCCTATAATCACAAGCTGTCTAGATCTTCTCTGGTCCTCCAGGGCTTCCTGCAGTGATAGAAATGTCTTCTGCACTGTCCAAAGTGATAGTCACTAGCCATGTGTGCCTACCACAGAACTGAAATGTGGCTGTGCGACTGAGGGGCTGGATTTCAGTTTTAATTGATATCAACTTAAATACAAATTCTCAGTGTGACTAATGAGTCCTGTAAGGACAAAGCGGGTTCTCAAAAATGTCTTAAATATCTGTTGAATAAATAAATGAGAAGCTTCTTGAATATGAAATGTTAGATGATTTCTAATTTTTTTAGTGCAGGAAATAATTACAATTTTCAGTTTCACAGTTTTTGCCTTATTTCACAGAAACCTTGTGACCTCAGTAACTTATCCATAGGAAATTTTTATAATTCAGTTACCAAACTAATTTTGATTTC